AAACGTGAACACGACGGTGTTGGAAATCGTCAAGTACCTCATTCGCAACGGCCTCCTCTGTACGTGCGTGTACCCTTGTGTGTGTGTGTGTGTGTCTGTGTGTGTCTGTGTGTCTGTGTGTCTGTGTGTGTACGTCTGTGTGTGTGTGTGTGTGTACGTGTGTGTGTTTGATGTGCTGTTGAGAGCATTCCTGCCTGTGCTCTCTGCTCGTACTCACACACACACACATGCTCATGCATGTAAATACACCCATATCATACACACACACACACCTCTGCAGCGAAAGAAAAGGGAAAGGACCTGTCCCACTGCACGTGGTTCTGGGCGACGTTCACATATGCGCACCCAGACCTGCACCTCACCTCCTCGCGGGAGATTATTGCGCTTGGGCTTGTTTACTCTGCCATCCACACAAAGCGCATTGCCGTGCCCCTCAAGGACGGAAAGCCCTTCTGGGAAACATGTCTTCCACATGTTGGCGCCACAGAGAAGGACCTGCTCTGTACGTGTCGCCACAGTTATGGCCTTGCATTGTGCTGTTGTGTTTTTGATGGGCGCGGGCTGGCTCTGTTTCTCTTCACGTGCTTCTCCACACGCGCCTCGCTCACATCATCATCAACTCCCTTTGCCCCGTGCACACACACACACACATACACACACGCAACAACTGTGCACGAAACCATGCCTCCAATGCAGTCATCAGCGGGCGGCTCTTCCGCTTCTTTGCAAAGCACAATGAGCCTGAGAAGGACGTTAAACCAGGCGATCCAGCAAAGTTCAACACATCCCTGTCGTCGTCGTCATCGTCGTCATCGTCAAAGCCTGTTGTGCCAGGCAGTGCGTACTCGACGCAGCCCAACTCGCCTGCGGCGCCCGAGACGCCATCGACCGCCATCACGCCGCAGCCGTCGGCGGAGCACAGAGGAGGCTCCGCCACGCAACAACAACAACAACAACAACAACAACAACAACAACAGCAGCAGCAGCAGCAGCAGCAGCAGCAGCAGCAGCAGCAGCAACTTAAACAACAACAAGAGGCAGCTGCATCACAGCAAGCGCCATCATCCATATCCACAGCTGTCACAGCGGCAACGTCAGCGACATGCGTTGCCGTGAGTGGCGCCAGTGCACGCGTGACCACAACAACCGCAGTAACGACAACCGAGGTCACCATGGCGCAGACGTCTGCACCTGCACCCCCACCGCCATCACAGGCCAACAACAGCAGCAGCAGCAGCAGCAGCAGCAGCAGCAGTGGTGGTGGTGGTGGTGGTGCACGGCGTGCGAGCGATCGTGATCACGAGGATGGCAATCCAACGGCCAAGCGTCCACACCTCCAAGCATCGCAATAACAGCGTGCTCTTGCGTCTGTGTCCTTGCTGCGCTGTCCCAATTCGTGTCCGTGATTGTTGGTCACGCGATGTACTGCTTGTTGTTCTCTTTCATCGTTGTTACATGACGTCTGTGTGCACCCCTTTCCTTGTCTGTGGGCGTTGTTTCACACACCCACACCTTGCACTTGCACCTCTTGTGTGCTTGCTTCAGTCTGTAACTCAAACTATGTATGCATGTTAACTAGGAAGACGACCACCACACATAAGTAAAAGAACAGCCAATGTAGGATACCGCTGCCAGCGTGTGTGTGTGTGTGTGTGTGTGTGTGTGTGTGTGTGTGTGTGTGTGTGTGTGTGTGTGTGTGTGTGTGTGTGTCCGAGCATATGATGGCAGGTATGTGCAAGGCAGCTCCCGCTGCCTTTATGTCACTGACAAATGCTCCAGCACCAAGATGATCAGTGATACTACGACGACGACTTGTCACCATTTGACACAAAGTTGACGCTGTACGAGCCAGTGCTCGGGTCCTGAACCATCTTGAAGTTGTCTGTTGACAGTCCAAACGGCCGCAGACACATGTTGCCGAGATCCTTCAGTTTCGCTGCAGCGAGTGCACGCAGCAGAAGGAAGGAGGAGGTACATGGCGGCAGAAGAGGCAATGTGCGGATGAGCAGAGGGAAGTGTCGGCAAGGAGAAAGGAGAGAGTGTGTTTGTGTAGGGGGGTGTGTGTGTGTGTGTGTGTAGGTGTGTGTGTGTGTGTAGGGGTGTGTGTGTAGGTGTGTGTGTGTAGGTGTGTGTGTGTGTGTGACGCCACGGTACACGAACTCCTTCCCATTCTCTCGTGCACTCTCAGACAAGACGCATAGGCGGACGCAGCGTACCAAACATCTCTTCCTTCATCTTCTCTTGTTGCTCCTTGATTTGCGCGGGAAGACGCTGCCAAGTGCCAACGCGTGTGTGCACGCGATGTGCAAGGTTAGGTCATCATGATATGAGGTCACCACCTTGCTACGACAAGCAATGAAAAAGGGTACTGCGGTACACACACACACACACACACACACACACACACACACACACACACACACACACACACACACACACACACACACACACACACATGCGCAAGTGGTGCACCTTTGCCGCCTGTCTTGCGGGCTTGTTGCCTGGGTCGTGTTTGAGAACCTCCTCGTAGTCTGTAAGAGGCAGTCAAAGAGTGACGGACGTTAACCCATGCGGTCGGCCACCAAGGTCTAGGGTACCGCACGATGCGTGTGTGGTTGTGTACCCAGCCTGCGCGTCGCACATGTCACAACTCTTCAAGTGCAGTGATCTCTGACTGGTTGTGCTTCCATTCTCGCACCTTGCAACGCGTCCTCAAGCTTCTCCAGCTGTTCGTAGGCCTGTGCCCGCCTGCTGACCGCCTTCACATATGGGGGCTTCAACTCGATCGCATGGCTGCAGTCCTGTGCGCAGTTCTCATAGTCCTCCTGACAAGCAGCAGAGAAGTGGGGGGGGGGCGGACAAGAAGAGGTTATGAAAGTGGCCGACCAATGATGTGTGTGCATGTGTGTGTGTTTGTGTGTGTGTGTGTGTGTGTGTGTGTGTGTGTGTGTGTGTGTGTGTGTGTGTGTGTGTGTGTGTGTGTGTGTGTGTGTGTGTGTGTGTGTGTGTGTGTGTGTGTGTGTGTGTGTAAACAGGCGAGAGGGTGCATGGAAGAGGTGAACGCAGGACACCATACCAGTTGGAAGTGACAAGCTGCACGGTTGTTGAAGAAGGCGGCCACTTCAGGTCGGCGGACGCAGCAGTTGTCAATGGCTTGTGTGTACAGGTCCAGTGCGGCAATGTAGTCTGCCAGATGATTCACAGGGGAGCAGTGTCGTCGCACGCACGTTGTAAGGAAAGGTGCATGCACGCCACAATGATGGAGCGCGGTGGACACAAAGAGGAGAGGGAGGGTTGCGTCAACACAGTAGACATAGGTGCAGGGAGCCACACACACACACGCGCACACACATGTCCACCTTTGTCCTTGAAGAGGGTGTTGCCCTTATCCTTGAGGGCCAAGCTCTCCTTTAGCCGGGTCTGTCGCGCACATCGCATAGATGGTTGAGTCAGTCGACGGAACGAGCACACACACACACACGCACACACACACGCACGCACACACACACGCACGCACACACGCACACACACACACACAACCAACACAACCAACCTGGAACTCATCGTCGTCCATCTCCACGAACATGTCTTCCGTGTTCTTGTCGTCCACTTGCGCCGCGTCATCACCGTCATCATCATCGTCCTCACTGTCATCAGACACATGGAACTCCTCCTCCTCGTCCTCGCCATCGCCTTCATCTTCTCCTTCACTGCTAGCAGTGCTACTGCTGCTGGTGGTGCTGTCGGCGTCGTTGTCGTCCAACTGTGTGTCGTCCTGTGCTGCTTCCGCTGCAGCCTCAAACTCCTCCGTCACGTCCACAATCTGGTTGTTATCCTCCATCGTCGTTGTGTGTTGTTTGCGTTGTTTCTGTGTTCTGTGGTGAATGACTGTGTGTGTGTGTGTGTGTGTGTGTTGTGTATGTTGTGTGTGTGTGTGCTGTTGTGTGTGAACGGATCTTCCTTTAACACCCTCCATCAGCCGTGATGTGACCAGCGCTTGTTGTTGCATTCTCTTTGTCAGTCACTCAAGTCAGAAGAAGAAGGAAGCAATGAAGGAGACAGCGGCACCTCTCATACAAAAGCAATACAGCAATGCAATCCCACACGTCCTGAACGCGCATTCACACACACACACTCTCACACACCACAATGCAGCTCGATGCACAGCTGGCACGCGATGGTGTGCGGGGCGTTGTCTACTTTGGCGCGTGCCGATACGCCGGTGGCGGCGCGGCCTTGGGTGCAGCAGAGACACTGTACACGGCCGCCAGCTTGTACAGGAACTGGTACTCAGCCAGCGTCTGCACAAGCCCGCCACGGTCGTGGCGCAGCGCAGACACAACACGCGGGACGTCAACTTTACCCGTCCGCTCAACCTGTAAGCAAGCACGTCGTGATGGCAGTGGTGGCGGACACTTGGTTATGGGCGGAGTCGTACAGGAGCAGGCATGCGTGCAGGTAGGCAGACAAATAAACACGAAGTGCACAACGCACAAGAAGTACACACACACACACACATAAACACAGGCACACACACACACATAAACACAGACACACACACACATAAACACAGACACACACACACACATAAACACACATAAACACAGACACAAACACAAACACAAACACAAACACACACAAACACAAACATAAACACAGACACGCACACAAAACAAAGCCAATGGCTCAGCATGCGCACCATGCGGAGGAGGTGATATGCGCCAAGAAGGACGCCCGTTGGGCCGAGACCAAGGTCGTCGTGCACAACAATCGGGCCCGGGCCCTCTGCGGCCTCACGCATCTTGCGCAGCAGCGTGATGATGCCCGACGTGCCCTGTGGAACGCCAGTCGCCGGCCAGCTGAACCCACGCAAGGACGGACATATGTGAGCGGTGGGTGGTAGTGGGGGAGGGTGGGTGGTTCGGAAGACTGTGGCCAAGGCAGACTTGACACCCACCCACCCACACACACACACACACACTCTCTCTCTCTCTCTCACT